TTACTAGTACCTAGCAGTCACTTTGACACGTAACAAGTGCCAATTTTATAAAATCTATACATATAATAATGTTTTCAGTCCTCAGTGTGGATATGCCTTTTTAAACCGATCAATTCTCAATGTCTAATGTGTCTTCTCCTTTATACACGACATTGGCGAAGTAAATTGTGCACAAATGGCACACCTATAAGCCACAGAACAAAGAAAATTGAACATATAATAATAGTGTAACTGATAGCGATTTTTATTAATGCAATAGAATCCAAAACAATGATTTTTAGATTTTTTGTCTGTTGTTTGTCTGTGCGATTGCGCACGCTAATCTCAGAAATGGCTTAACCTATTTTGGTGCGGTTTTAAATAATATATTGTGGTAAGCTTCACTTAACATTTAGTGTTTGTTTTATTTCAATCAGTTGATAAAATAAAAAAAGTTATGTCAATTTAAAGAATAACCTAGGGACGAACCCGAGCGAAGCTAGGGCGAGTCACTAGTCCTAACTATGTTTAAATCTCTCTTTTCTCTTCTATTATCTACGTCATTTTTCTCTGATCTACTTCGATTTATCTACTATCCTCTAGTCTTACTAATATTATAAATGTGAAAGTTAAGATGGATATTTGGATATTTGTTTCTCAATAACGCCAGAACGGCTAAAAGGATCTGGATAAAATTTGGCACAGAGATATATTATAGTCTGAAATAGCACATTTACTACTTTTTATACCGGAAAAATGTACGGTTCCCGTGGGGTAGATATAGGTTTTGTTTTTAGTAAATAATAATGAAAATTTTTTGTCGGAAAAATTTCTTTTATCCTTTTCTATCCTTTTTCCCGGAATAAAAAGTAACCTAGGGGCTTACGGATCTACGGGATCTTACGGATAATAATATTATATAGCTATTTTAATATCACAAACAGACACTTTAATTTTATGTATGAACACAGCAATTTAGTCCCAAATCGATCTGAATCTATAAAGTAATGCAATAAAATTTTTAACGATTCATCAAATTTGTTTCATCAGAAACTTAAGCTCACATCACATTCATTTTACGAGGATTTCTAGTTATTGTGTGGAATTTATTGTAGCTGCGGAAATGACTCTTAAAATAACAGACTAACTATGCGCCTTTTGCCGTCCTTTCTCATCAACGTAATATATACATGAATATCTATACATATAATAAAATTGTAACTAAGCCGAATCTGTACATTAAATATTTTTTGGAAAATCTTATTGAAATAGACATTATTATCGATACAGAGGCCGAATCTATAGTTTTTAGAATTTTTGTCTGTCTGTCTGTTACCGCATCACAGAAAAACCATTGGAGGGATTTTCATGAAATTTGGTATGGTGATAGCTGGTTATCCGGGTCAACATATAGGATACTTTTTACCGCGGGAAAATATCTCATTTCTGAGAAAAAATACAAAAACTGCAATGTAAGAGTATACTAATATATTAAACCAAAGAATTTCGTTTTTGATCATCTGAACGTAATATACATGAATATGCAAAATATATTACAGCGGTCGGTTTAACCTAAATTTATGTTACTTTGAAAAAATGGTCTTAAAAATTTTATTCTCATCAATTTTTATGGTGATATACCTCTGTAAAACCACCATAAAAATTATTATTCCCTCTGTCATCTTCAGTCAAAAATTAATTATTTTTCCCTCTGGAATAATAATTCAGAATAATAAATAAATAATTATTTTTTGACTCAATTCTTTGCTATTTTCTTTGAATTTCTCTGTAGAACATATAGCCTTGACGACACGTTGACTCAGTTTGCAGTGTCTGTGTGTACTGCTGTGACAACGGTCGCGGGTTCAAGTCCCGCTGGGGGATTCATTTGTTGATGAGCACGATATTTGTACTCCAGTCATGAGTGTTTTTTTATATTTATAATATGTATGTATTTGTAGAGTGTCCACTATCTGGTATCCATAACACATGCTTCGTAACTTGCCATGGAACTAGATGGTTTGTGTTAATGTCCCAACATATTTAATAACTCTATTTATTAATAGAAGAATATCTGTTTAAAAATACACTCTACACATATTTTTTAAGCCCTACAGCTTAGGATGACTATAACGAATGACCAGTAAACGATCAGGTGAATGACTAATGGTATTTTCTTACTTAAGTCACATTTTATACAAATTTTTTTTCACATAACAACTTTTGGATTTAAAAACCATTGGAATATTAAAAAAAAATGTTTAGAGCTCGGTAGGTGAAGTTAATTTTTTTTGCATACCTGCACCTGAAAATGACTTCTTTTACATAAGAAAATAAAAAAAATGCAGATAGTCGTACAAACTGACAACAGTCAGACGAACACCAACAGCCTTTATATATATATATCCATCATAAATTGTCTCAAACCTATGACCTGATACAATATTAAACTTAATTTTCTAAGCCAAATACCTTTCACAATATCAGCACAAAAAATAATACTGCGACTGAGAGACTAAAGAAGCCAATAACTTTTTGTTTTTATATAAACATCTTAGCCAAAGATTGCTCAAGGATACCAAACAAAGGATCATAGCTATAAGTATTTAAGAGAAATTGTGTTATTTGCAAACACAAACTTGAATAAGCTAATATTGTGAAGTCAGTTTACATAGGACTGTTGGTTTATGTGCAGACGATAAAAGTGGAGTGTTGGTTACAGTACTTCGGAAATGGTCGAGTCAGCAAAATGTTGGGAGCAGTATTAAATGCCTAAATCTTTGTTTACTATGTGGCTTTAAAGGATGCTGTGCTTATCTCTAATATTCAAATAGGTTTAATCTCAAACAAACGAACTGTGGCTAAGAATTTTGACAATTTATGTTTTTACATCATTTTAAAGGTTTAACGAGCTTTTTTGAGGTTAAAGCTTTTTATTTACAAGCTTCGTATAAAGGAGTTTGTGACTGAATATTCAACTATTTAGATTTTTGATTAAATTACATAGTGTAAGAAATCAGTTTTTTCTTATGCCAAGATCAAGAAGAGATATTTCTCAAAGCCCAGCCAAAAGTTAAAGACAACTTTGGTTTATATTTTACATTTATGTTTTTCTATGTAACAACCTATAATAAAATTCTAACTGAATCGAATCTGTACATTGAATATGTTTTGGAAAATCTTATTGAAATAGTTATTATTGTCGATACTGACTGAGGCCGAATCTATATTTTTGTTAATTTTTGTTTATCTGTTTCTCTGGGAATGCATCACGAGAAAACCACTGGACTGATTTAGATGAAATTTGGTATGATGATAGCTGGTTATCCGAATCAACATAAAGGATACGTTTTACTGCGGGAAAATATTTCCTCTCTGAGAAATCTATACTAAACGTTAAAACGTAAGTTAATCAAAATATGTATATCTAGTTTTAAACATTAATCAAAGACATATTTACTTAATGTTTAAGCACTACACTACCTATTCAGTAATTCACATAATTCTGAGGATGACGTGGGACCGGCTTAAGCAGGTTTAAACAGTAACCCCAAAGGGAAGATTAGTCTATATCAACTATCTAATACCATATCGATTGTCTTACAAAGTACATATATCAAACACTCACAGAATATAACACTCAATAACGATGTGATACTATAATCTGATATTTTGTGACATTTAGCTGTATAGTTTCGTATGAATGAATTTGTCTGTTGATTTGTTATATATAATATATTAAAAAAGTACGTTTTTAATGGTTAGTATGGAATAGAAAAACTCTGTGAAAAATAACAATAAAACTATCCCACGGGAACCGTACATTTTTCCGGGATAAAAAGTAACGTATGCACTATTCCAGACTATAATCCATCTTTGTGCCAAATTTCATCCAGATCCGTTCAGCCATTCTGGCGTTATTGAGTAACAAACATCTATCCATCCAAATTTTCGCATTTATAATACATACGAGATGTTATAATGGGATGTGATGAAAAAACAATAGCTAGGAGTAGGTTAACATTTTATTACCTATGCAAAGTTTGGCACTAAACGGGTATCTAAACAAGCATTTAATTTAAAATATTTGCAAATATAATTTACTATGGCCTTGTATAAGTGGCTTAGATGCCATTCATACATCGAAGGTTTTGAAAGAAACATATTTAAATGGTCGGATAGAACGTCAATTTATTTATTAACTAGCTATTAACCCTGCTTCATTTCTAAGGTTTATACATATATATAAATAAAATATATAATCGGCTTTCTTACAGTAAAATGTTTATTTAATAAAGAATTTATGTTTAAAAGACAATAATTATGTATTAAAAACTTACGGTAAAATAGTCGTAAATATGCACTAAATTGACGATATACTAAAATACAATACAGAAATATTCTAATGAATGACACGTTTGGCTCGGTTTGTAGCGACCCTACTTGTTGTGCCAGCGGTCGAGGGTTCGAGTCCCGCTGGGGTCATTCATCTGTGTGATGAGCACGATGTGTATTTGTACTCTAGTCATGGGTGCTTATATTTATAATATATATGTATTTAAAGTTATATATGTGTAGTGTATCAACTATCTGGTATCCATAACACAAGCCTGGTAGCTTACCATGGAACTATGTAGATGGTACTGTTAGTTAATGTCCCAACATATTTATTTATTTATTCATTTATTCTAATGTAGTATATATTTTGATGCAGTTTCATTAAAATACATTTAGTAGAACTAGCGGCTAACCCTCTCTTTGCTCGGATTCGCCTCTAGACAAACAAAAATAAATCTATCCCACGGTAACCGTACAATTTTCCGTGATAGAAAGTAACCTATTTGTTATTCTGAGGTATGAACTTATATTATCGTAAAGTTTCATTAAAATCCATTTAGTAGTTTTTGCGTGAAAGAGTAACAAACATCCATACATCTATACATCCAGACTTTCATATATCCATACATCGTCACAAACTTTCGCATTTATAATATTAGTAGAAGTAGGATAAATTCTATTACCTTCTGGAACAGCAAGGGATGTGAGAAGAAAATGAACACACGCAGCACCAGTCCCGTGACCCATGAGGGTCACATTCGTGGGGTCTCCTCCAAAGACCGCAACATTTTCTTTTATCCAATGCAAAGCGGCGATTTGATCCATCAACCCATAGTTCGCGGGGGATCGAGGGAACTCATCTGATCGGGGATTCAGAAAACCTGCGAAAAAAAGAAATATTATTAAAATTAAACGTAAAATCCATATATACATATAATAGCCTATATCTATACATACGAGTATAATAAAATTCTAAGTGAGTCGAATCTGTACATTAAATATTTTTTTGGAAAATCTTACTGAAATAGTCATTGTTTTCGATATCGAGGCCAAATCTATAGTTTTTAGAATTTTTGTCTGTCAGACTGTCTATCTATCTATTTGGGAACGCATCACGAAAAACCACTGGACAGATTTTGATGAAATTGGGTATGATGATAGCTGGTTATCCGGGTCAAAATATACTTTTTACTGCGGGAAAATATTTCATCTCTGAGAAATCTTTACTAACCGTTAAATCTAAATCTGAGAAATCTATACTGACCGATATATAAAAACAAAGACTTCATTTCCTAACAAATATATTTTCAAATAGTGGCGTCGACATGTAACATTAAGTCAAACCAAAGAATAAAATTCAAAATCGAAAGTTGTAATTGTCTAAGCAAAAGACGTGCGTAAGTTAGACTTACGCACGTCACATAAAGTAGTTTTTTAAACGAAACAACGTGCATTTTAATTTTGTCATCCGTTAAGTAATGAGCAAAAGTGATTTGAAAAAAAGTAATTCAATTTCTTTTTGAAGTCACTTTTGAGACGCTAATTGTGTATCTTGAGTTTGTGTATCGAAACCATATAATTTTACCATTGATGGTAAAATTATATGGATTAGACCTCACTTTAAGTATTATTCCACTATTGCAGGACGATATTATTTCTTATATGAACTCGAAAATGTTCAACCCTTAATTACATATTGTGTGGACTGCTACCCCTATTTTATTTTTCGTAATTTGACTAGATACATAATTATCTAGCGGTTCACCCGAGAAACCTAACAGAATTTAATAATATAGCTCCAATAGTTTCTGAGTAAAACTATTAATACACGCGGATAGACAGATAGACAGGCGACACATTAAAATTATAAGTAGAAACAAGACAACCCTAAAACCAATTAAGAACAATTCTCATAATATTATAATATAACAAAAAAAACTACATTCAAATTGTGTAATTTAATTTTAGCCAAAAAGTGACTTACCATTAAATTAATACCAGACAGAAAAAATTAAGTTAAAAGTCCGCAGAAGAAATTTTTTGAGTTCTCTTTAATAAAAATAGTGTTAAGCGAGGAAGGTTTGTTGATATATTTTGTAAATATTATGTACAAAATTACTGATCCAAGACGGTGTTTCGTTAAAAAAAAACTGGGTAACACTGGCTAAACCTTTGAGATACATCAAAACAATGTACTAGAAAATTGTAGGTTTTAAAGAGGCCTACAGAAAAGTTTCCGATAGCATTTATGTATCTCCTAAGATACGCCCACAATAACTATTTTTATATATATAGAATGTATCTAAGGACGCACTCAAGCGAAGTGAGAGTAAGTCGCTAGTATACTAGCTTAATAAAATCAAATTATTTCCAATTAACTTATATTACTATATTATTGCCTAGTAAGTTATAAGATCATATTAAATAACGCTCAAACACTCATAACGTTATTAATATTTTAGATCCTATTAATAAATATTGACAGTATAATTGAAAGAGATTTTTCTGATATCTTTCATATTATAAAAGATATCGATATTAATTATCCACAATTACAAAGACGTACTTGGTCAATGCTTAATTATATATATTTCATCACAACGCGTTCATTATCAATCGAAATTCCCATTTTTATTAATTAAACTAGCGAATCACCCTCACTTGGCTCGGGTTTATTCCTAGTTACATTGTAACATTTAGTATAGATTTCTCAGAGATTAGTATAGACTTTCTGCAGTAAAAAGTATCCTATATGTTGACCCCGATAACCAGCTATCATCATACCAAATTTCATCAAAATTTATCCAGTGTTTTTCTTGTGATACGTTCCTAAATAGACCGATAGACAAAAATTCCAAAAACTATAGATTCAATCTCTGTATCGATGATAATGACTATACAGTAAGGTTTTCCAAAAAAATATTCAATGTACAGATTCGACTCAATTACAATTTTATTATATGTATAAGATATCCTGCGCAGATCCCTAGTTTGGCTGAGATTAACCACCGTAGCCGAAATCGGATAGGGCATTTCAATTCAACCCGAAATTCTCTACCTAATAAAAGAGACTAGTAAAATCTCACGTTAGAATTAACTTGCAATGTAAAGGGTCCCCCACGGTATAGCCGGGTTAACGATAATCGGAAAGTTTTCTACAATTTAGGCTATTGTTGTTCGTTGCCTTCCAACTCCGCTGCATGTTTTGACTAAAACAATCTAAAACATAAATGTTATCCAGATTGCTTAAAACTATTTTAATTTCATAAATTTTAGTGGAACTATTGCAGTACTGTTCTTTGTTTGGGATTACTGAAGCTAGAAATCAGGCCGGAACAAACAAATGGAAAATCTATACTAATATTATAGAGGCAGAGTTTGTTTGTTTCTTTGTTCGTTTGTTAGTTTGTACGCGCTGATCTCAGAAACTAGTAATCCGGTTTGAAAAATTCTTTTTGCATTAGAAAGTCCGTTTACTGAGGAAGTCTATAGGCTATATATCATCATGCTACTACCTAAAGAAGCAGAGCAGTAATCATAAATGTTACTAAATCAGACAGAGTTCCATATATTATTGTAAAACTGTTTATAATCAAATATAGAGTAATTAAGTAAATAGTATACATAGAGTAGTAAGATCTTAAGTTTCTCTTGCTTCGCTTGGATGCGTCCATAAAGTAATTTACGCATTGCTATAAGAACATGAACTAGTCTGTACCTATATACCTAATATTTTAATGTACATACCTATTATTTATTAATATTTTGGCTAACGCCATCCTATGGAAAATTTTATGACTTACAGTACCTATGGGTTAATCTATAATTATAGTTTATCATAGAACTAAGCTTTATCAGAATCTACCCAGCTGTCTCAGTTGGGAGGAGTAACAAATATATACACACATACAGACTTTCACATTCCATTATATTTATGGCTAACGACTCATTCTCGCTCCGCTCAGGTTCGTTCCCAGTTATGTTTTAAGGTTTAATGTAGATTTATCATCTATATGAGATATTTTCCTGCAGTAAAAAGTATCCTATATGTTGACCCGGATAACCTATCATCATACCAAATTTAATCAAAATTTGTCCAGTGATTTTCTCGTGATGCGTTCCCACATAAACAGATGGACAAACCGACAAAAATTTCTAAAAACTATAGATTCGGCCTCTGTATTGATAATAATGTATAGATGTCACATATTCGCGTAAATCTAAGAAAGTATTATTATTGATTCAGTAGTCCTAGAAATTCTCTTTTACACACAAACCAATATTACTGTTACCTGTTTATCATAATTATGGAGCATACGTATGCGCGTAGTTTTACTGTAATATTATAAATCACCTACAATCTAATACAAAAACTTCTCGCATATTCACATTTCATTTACTTACTACACCATTGCCTTTTACACATTATTTCAACGTTAAAAGTTACTAGTATATGAAATACTTGGCATTGTAAAGCGTGTCGTAATGTGCATGAGTTAGACGAAATTTTGATACAAGTTTTCCCTTTATGTCAAAAGGATGCCAAGAAAGAATTGAATTGTTCATAACAGGGGTCGCTATTTTATAAAATACCTTAGATTCCATAGAAATATTTCTCAGATGTGTCTATAGGAAATGTACATACTTAAGTAAAAAAATTTTTGACAATTTCGTTATCACTCAATTTGGGTTTTATATGAGAAACCCTGACTTAGTGAGTGAAAAATGAAACCGATGGCATTTAAATAAAAAAGCAGTTCTAAATAAATCTAATATATTTAAACGAGCAATTATTGTATATATATATCAATATATAATCTGAATCTCGAAACGGCTCCAACGATTTTCATGAAATTTAGTATACAGGAGGTTTCGGGGGCGATATATCGATCTAGATTAGTCTTATGTCGAGGAAATCACGTGTTTTTGAATTTTCATGCGGTTTTCTTTTGCATTATTCCACGCATCACAATCTCGATCACGAATCTCGGTCGCATACAAAGTTTTTACTTTTGTTTTTTTTAAATGTATTCAAGTTTTTTTAGTGAAATGTACTTAAAAACAACTCGCTGTCCTCAAAATATTTAAAATAAGTGTGGAAGTCATCGATGGGATAGCCGGTATTATTATGGTAATGTAATTTGATGCCTTAACATTGTTAATTTCAATAAAATTGGTATAAATTGTAAAAGATTTATGTGTACTTAATACTAATATAAAATTTATTATTTATTTAGTCCTACTATTACCTACTTAGTACTACTGCTACTAATATTATGTATAACAAAGTTTGTTAAATAAGTAAATCTATTTTGTGTTAAATAAATAAACTCTAGTTCCACGGTAAGCTACGAGGCTTGTGTTATGGATACCGGATAGTTGATAAAGTACTCATTATTATATAGCTTTAGATACATATATATTATAAATATAAACACCCATGACTGGAGTACAAACATTCGTGCTAATCACACAAATGAATGGCCCCAGCGGGACTCGAACGCGACCCTTGGCGCAGCAAGTAGGGTCACAACAAACTCAGCCAAACGTTTCTTCCAACGTCGTGTCAGTATTATTATGGTAATAAATATGTTTGTTATTTTTTTCTCTTCTTCTCAACGGATTTTATTGAAACCTGACATAGATATAGCTTTCATCCTGGACACATAAGCTACTTTGTATCGACGTTTCCACGACGAGCGAAGCCGCGGGAAAAAACTTAGTAAAAATATTAATAATAACTCTTTATTGGCTCACATAAAAAGAAGATAAATAGAGTGGTTGGAAAATGTATAAGAGATAGTCTTATCGCTAAAATAGCTATTTATTCCAGGCGACCTTTACGTACAGAAAAAAGTCATCTGTAAGATAGAAGTGGTTT